AAAATTTGCGCCAACATTTAGAGTATTACATTAACTGCAGCATTTTAGTACACTGAAAAATTAAATTATGTAGCTACACAAAAGAAATAGAGGAAAAAAAAACACGGAACAAAGAAAGCCGACCACCATTGCTTACAAAAATGATGGCTATAATAATTCCCGCTTTATTTAGATTGGTGGCTAAGCAGATTGCCATAATTACGAAATCGAGTTGCGTTTCATTGCAACCGTAATAAGGGAGAGAGGAAAGAAAAGTACAACAATTAATATTCATGAAATTCTACTCTAATTAACTGTTAATTAAATAACTTAATAATAAGTAAAATCAACACATACATTTTCTGATTATAAGCAAGTTTGTTTTGTTTGTTTTTATTTAAAACTCAATTTCATTATCCATTTATTGTTTTAAAACTGACGTCATTTACAAAATTAAATTTTAAATACGAGTCATATGATTATTTATTTTAGTAACTATGTGTCAACAGTTGATTTCCGCTTTCAAGGTCATTGGTTGACTATGATATTCTTGTTATCTCTAAAGGATTTAAATTTCGTTTCTTTTTTCTCAATACATTATTATCATCGGAATGGGTTTTGTGGAGATTTTAGAAATTTTCACAGATTGAAATCATGAGTCAGTTGAAGCTAGACCACCATTGAAAACCTGGAAGCACTGGACGGTCGTTTCGTCCTAGTATGGGACTCCTCAGCAGTGCGCATCCACGATCCCGCACCACGCGGGGCTCGAACCCAGGACCTACTGGCTTCGCGCGCGAGCACTTAACCACTAGACCACTGAGCCGGCATCCAACGGTGTTAATGTCTAACTTCAACCAATCCACGAAGTTGCGCCACCGTACACCATTGTCTTCAGTGAGTTGTTATCTCACAACAGACCGGTTGAACTCCACTGGTAACGGCTTCTCACTAGAACTTCAGGAGTTTTTCCTGAAGTCAGTCACTAGTGAGCAGTTGATTATTATCGGAATGGGTTTTGTGGATTGGTTGAAGTTAGACATTAACACCGTTGGATGCCGGCTCAGTGGTCTAGTGGTTAAGTGCTCGCGCGCGAAGCCAGTAGGTCCTGGGTTTGAGCCCCGCGTGGTGCGGGATCGTGGACATTATTATCATTTATTGAATATTACTGATGTTGTTATAATGTTCAGTATGAAATATTACCAAACTATAGCAACCCTATTTGTTATAAGCATATACTGTATTGACAAGTCTACTACAAAACGTGAGAAATATGAGAATTTACATTTTATGCTGAATTGAAGAGATGAAATTTGAAAATTCTATTTCTTTTTTGCACTTATCTAGAAGGATAGTTCTACTAGCATCTTAAGTTCCCATGCACTATTTTGATTATGGCAAACAACGATGCCAATTCAGCAAGTTAATCTATAGTATGAAAATATTTTGTATTGCATTGATTCCCATCTACTTGTAGTGTAGGTGAGATGTGTCTGCTAACCAAAAAACCAGTATACTGACAAGCGGTCAACTTTATATTACTCTATGGTTGTAAAACGGGATCTCAGAAAGTAGACGACATGTGTTGGCTGCAGCTTGTTCTATAATGCATATCTTGGGAACATTGGACGAGTTTGGTGTAACGAATAAATGAGTATTACTAAGATTGAGTTAGATATAATGCAAAGGTGGCAAAACAGTTGGCAGGGTTGTAAATCGTCATTGGATGAGGGAATTGGAAGATAAATTACGTATACCCAAACGGTACCTACTTCGGTTGGCGATGTTAACTGGTGTCGGAGTAAGTTAGAACAGTGCCACAGAGGATCAAATCAGAATGTGGGATAGGTCCATAAAATTATGGACTTAACTGTGATGGGATATGTAGACTTCCGAGTTGAGGTTGGGAATTATGGCTTAGAATCAGTCACAATGATGTAGATGCATTGCCAATGGTGCACATGGCCTCCAGGATCCTGAAGGAAGAAATGTCACATGAGCCAATCGTCGGTCACCAGCTACTATGGGACTGCATCTCCCGACGTTGCTCCATTGTCTTGTGGATCAGACCTTTAGATCAAAGACTCCGGTGTAGCCCTGCTTCGATCTGGGTACCCGGGTTGTATTCCAATCCTCCCACAAATCGAATGGTTTATGCCCTGTTTATCTTTAAATAAATAATGTAAATGCACCCATCCCTACTCTAAATCTTGAGTTCCAACATGCCTCCAATTCCTCACACCTTACCATACCTTCTCCGTGAAACAGTTTCAAACTTTAGATTTTCTTACTATCAATCGTACCACATTTTCATCCCTTTTCTTAGATCTATCTCATCATGCTAATGTAGTCAATACAAACAATCCGATTCAAATTGTTGCAGACCATAGGTGTTTCAAAGTGATTATTGAGTTTCATAGGTTACGAGATGTTAGTAGCTCCCGGGTCATGATAAGATATCTCTAGAGTTTTGTACTTATCGAAGTGAAACTGTGTCATCGAACATTGTTCTTAAGAATTATGTTAAAGTTGACAGTATGATTACATACAGCTTACATAACACAACACTATCACAAGCAGCTACCGAACTATAAATCTGCATATTTTAAATATACAGTGAATCTTGGTCCTCATGGACATAAAAAGTCTACATTTCAATTACTATTAAACTCACAAATAGTGCATTACAGTTATATCAATTTGAAGTTTCTCGTAGGATAAAGTGCTAGCCCTGGATAATGATTGCCAGCCACTATCTCAAATTCAATCAAAGTAATGTTCGAGATATTAAAAAAAAAAGAATACCATTGGAAGAGAAGAGGAAAACAAACATTTGCGTATTAAACAAAATCGATAAGTACAGATACAGAAGTGTGTGACTAGGGAAGGATGGTTAGATAGACATACCATACCAGCATAGACGATACATTGTGGATTGTTATTTATGAATTATGTAGGCAAACAAAATACACGTATACAAGAAGATGATAGACAGGCATTGATGAGAAATTAGAAAGTGACCAATGAACAACAGTAAAGTTTGTACAAGATTATATTCGGTAAAAATTAAGACAAGTTCCGTTAACAGACAATAGATTCAACAACAACAACAACAACAAAAAATTTCATTTTGGTCAAGTTTTTCGTTCACGTTTATAAATATCAAAATTGTAGTGTATTTAAAAATGATACCAGTAAGATAGTGAACAAAGCAAAAATCCTACATTCTCTAGAATGTCTACAATGTTGAGTGAAGCTACATAAATAAGCAGTAAATTGTTACTTATTGTGAAAACATAAAATGTATTAAACAGAATGGTATGAAGTAATACCAGATATGATAATACCTATTGAAGAGAATTATGTCTATGTACGTGATTTGAATGACACTTGGAATACATTGTCGTGAAACAAACAAAAGTAGATAAACAAAGTTGGAACTCGTAAAATGATTAGTTTGAAATTGCATCCATAAATTACCAGTTAGCTACTCATGCTTTCTCATACTGTGTCAGTTGTATTGTCCCACCAGATAACATTATCAACATATCACCTTTATATACTGTTAACAATACAGTTAAGGCTCGAAAAACGTACGAAAATAGAGACGTCTCTTTAGTAATTAGGATAAAGCTTAATTTCGAATTGTTGTTGAGATACTTATATACAGGCAACATACACTCGCTGAAAACCATTGTTGGACAGAATATACACAATGGTTTGAGATGGAATGGACAAAGAGTTCCTACATATAACAACGAACGGACTATTTAAATATATCCTGTAATATATAATATATATACATATATTTAATTGATGCAAGTGTTAGTCAGAAAAAAACACTCCCTCCTGTAAGTAGTAATATCTCATTAGTTCAACAACTACCAGTTTTTCAAAGATTATGATCAATGCATCAGTCATATTAAACCGAACTTTTAAAAAAGTGAATATATTTGAATTGTGCCATCAGGTACAAAAAGGAAATTGAAACATGTCAATGAATATGGTTTTAGATAGTTCAAATATCTGAAACTAAAAATACCCATCATCGTGTTAGCCTAAAGAAACTAAATGTAGTTCTTGGCTTATACGATCCGATAGGATTAACAGATAAACGTGTTGATTATGGTTCAATATACAACAATAAACGATTATGAGATATATCACTCAGCTCATTAGGAGTTTAAATTGCATTTTAAAAAGATTTTAACACTTCTGATCTTACTTCTTGTCATAAGAAAATTGTTTTAATGTAAAGATTTTGCGGTTGTACCTGTCAACTGTTGTTACAAGATATACATTTTAACCGAATTCCTTGCACTGGGACTTATTTTTACTGAATGAGCAAATAGACTGTTAAGGTTAATACACCTTCAAATTCATAACATTCTTCAAATACGATCAATATATTATTGGTTAGGCGAAACCCTCAGAAATAATATCGACAAGAAAAACAACTTTTGTATATGTATGTATACAGCAGTAGAGACAAACAACGACAGACCGCAAATAATATGTATGGTTAACCAAAAAGACAGATACCAGTGCATTTGATCAGGACATAAACTAAGTGAATCTAAGTCTTGACAAAAGAACTAGGGTAATGGATTGACGTAGCAGTTGGACGTTATTACGTTTGTTGCCTAACCGACAAAATGTCACCAGAACTAAAGGTCTTCTGGGACTGAAATGGGTTGAAAATCTGGACTGATGCATAAAAGAATACCCCAACTGTCAAGTTGTCAATAACAAGGATAATTGAAGATCTCAAATGGAATCAAATATTCAAATATAATTATAACATACAAGAAACGATCTGAATATATATATATATATATATATATATATATTCATGGGTACATATGCAAAAAATATGTACAAATGAAAATATGAAGTAGAATTACTGAAGATTTGGGGAAGTGTAGAGAAAGGAATAGTTACTTATTTGGCAATGAAAGAGGTTGTAAATTAGACATTTGTAGAAGAAAATGAGCTCACGATTTGGCATATATATATATATATATATATATATATATATATATGCTTAGTGAATAATTAGTCGTTGAACAAAAAAATACCAATGAACAAGATATTGTTTGGATGGATCAGTTGGAGTTGTAGAGTATCGTTTATCTTTGTGCAAAGTTCGTAATTAGTTTCGCTTGATAGCCAGTGGAAAAATGGAAATTATATCCACTTTGTAAAATGCAGTATAGCTCCATTGTGATGCTTTCTTCCAGAGATCTCAATTCACACTAAAATGAAAAAAAAAACAATTCCTCTTATTAGGGGGGGGGGGCATGACATTATCATCTCGTTTGATGCTTTATAGTATTTATCGAGTAAAAAAATAAATACCACAAATGTGGAAATGTGGTGTAACTATTTAAATAATAAACCATTTACAATATGGTGAGCACATGCATCAATACACATTGTTTATCTAAATAAATCTTCGTGGGCAGCATGAAAATCCAGTTAAAAACTTAGTTAATAAATTCATACAAAGTTAATTATTTATTTCTTTATCAATGGTCAGAGTCATGTGCTCAAGAAGAAATATCACTCAGAGAATATAAGATTTTACTCCTTTCGATCTATAATTTCAAATATTAAAACTTTGGAAACAAACTATCTATCCGATGATTTAAAGTGAAACTTAGACTTAAACTTTTGTTAGGTCAAAAAACTTTAGACTGAGTTGATCTAGTGATATTAGTACGAAATAGTGACAGTAGTTGCATTTTCCTGGTCACCGTATTTATTCAGACTACAGACTAATTGATATTTCATACTAACTAACTAGAGCACAAACAGGCTTTAGTATTAGGCGAATTTTACTTCAAAATATGCTAAATATAATGAAATAGGATCTCTAACTTCAAACCTGTAATTTTAGGTTAGGTTTCTTTTATCAATTGAAGTGTATCCTTTTGGCACGTAAGAACTTTTAATATGGAGTTTCATCTATACCACTAAAGCTTTCTTTTATATTTCATCCAAACTTTAGTGAAGCTATAGGTTTGACGAATGATTATACGCAGTTACGTATAGTCAAACTGAAAGACAGTGAATCTATCAGTTGACGATAGTGGTTACTAGATCTAAATTGATTTTATCATCAAGAAGGATGGTTAAATGGTACGTTATTAAGACAGACTGCTCAAACGATCAGACCGACTTGCAGTTGCTCGCCTTCTAACCAGTCAAAGTATTTGTTTTCAAACTTCGATGTTAGAAAATTTATAATAATTCAAAAAGGAGGGAACAAAATGGCAAGTTCACAGAGACAGGTGTCAATATTTAAAGATACGAGTTTGACACAACTATTTATAAGAAGCGATTTCCTTTTGGGTTTTCTAGAAATTCAAAACCTGATAACCTGAAGTGACACAACATTTTGTTTTGTTGGGGAAATAGAACACTAACCGACATATGCTCCCTTTAGTTTCCAAATAATCACAATAATTCTTCCATCACTCTACATATGAAGGGAACACTTACAAGAGTTATGACTTGATTTCTTAAACTCATGTCATTAGGCAAGACCCATTCCTATCAAACTACTGAGTGAGGCGTAGCAATAAGGCTATTGTAGTTTGTATGTCACAAGATGTAGGCTATATATTTCGTAAGAGTTAATACTACCGAACTGACCCAAAGTCGTAAGACAAAAATGGAACAGATTCGGTGACTAACTGTTTAAGAAACAAGTTTTCATAACAGGTAACCAAGTTAACTTCAAAATCTATTATGTGGTTAGAAAATAAAACGAACATACAGTCGTAACGCGTCAAATGATAGGTAAATCATCAAAAAAGAAAGTGCATAAGGAAATTTACTTGATTCAGCAGCAGTGGGACGTGAGGGTGCGCCATTATTATTAATCATCTTAAGATCTTCATTATCATTCATCACAGCCGAAGAAACATCGCATCCTATACCACTTATTGTCGGGTGCATTATAGCTGAAAGGTAAGATGTTAATAGAAGCCAGTATCAAAAAAGTCAACTTCTTATGAGTGAGATTTTCTAATCGAGAAATGTTGTCGTATGAACAGTCTACTATCATTCAGCAGTGAAGTGTTGGTTTAGTGGTTAAGGTTTTCGGCTTTCAACTACTAGGTTTCATGTTCGAGTCACGGTCCCACAGACTTAATTTTGGACAGCTGGACAATGCCACTAGCTCTCATATAATCTCTTCAAACCAAGCACACAGATCTGTTGCATCACCATCAGAAAGATTAGTTTTATTAGTCAGTGTTAATCTCACCGATTTCATCAATGTAATTGAGGGGTAGTAATGATACAGACAGATGACGAGACACTACCGAAAAAGAATAAGATAAACAAATTCTGTTAACACGGGTTAACAAATTAGTTTATAATATTCTTGTATGATATATGAGGTGATCAGATCAACTAAGTAAAATAAACTCACGAAGATACAACTACATGTGCTTCTGTTGGTCGTCTAGTTTGATGAGATGCTTTTAAAACTAGATTTATATCAACTCGGTGCACGGATAAATAAATAATAAAACAATCAAAATCGAAACTATACGACAATCAAAAAAGATGTTTGTTTCCGGTATAGAGGTTAATAATGAGTTCATGTTGAAGATATTGTTCTTAATAAGCAACAAAAGTGCTTCTTCAGGGTAAAAGCCCAAAAAATCATGTCTGAATGTCACCTGATCGATAGTACTTGACGGTTAATGGTTTTACTAACAGAAAAACCGTAGTAATATAAAACCAAGTCACTCTACACAAGGCAATATATCTCTGAAATCATAGAATCCTTGGGTAGGTAACATTCTATAAAAACACACAGATAAACAAATACTTACACTCTGGAGTCGACTGATTTCCACTACAGCTTGTTCCGATTGAATTGTACAGCATAGGAGAATTATTTGACTTGATAGTTGTAGAAATCAAAGTTGAGGGTGCAGAATGAAGAACATTTTGATTATCCATCATATCCATTGCAAAAGAGGAGGAGGTCAGTGGAGAAGTCAAAGGGGTACCGGGAACAGAGACATGTCCCATTTGCGTACCTCCACTGCCCATCACTTCATTTGGCATCATAAAGCTTGACTGTTGAGATGATACAACCGAAGAACTTAACCCATTCGGAAGAGAAGGCGGGGTGAAACGTGCAGGAGGTCTTGAGGGAAGAAGACTGGGAGAGGCACAGTGAGGGAACCCACTCAAACCATTTGTACCGTCAACTAAAGACGAAGCACTACTTGACCGAGTTGGTTGATGCATGGCATCTCCATTTCCTGATGGCATATAGTGATCTAAATAAGAAACGAGTAATGAAATACTTGTTTTAGACTAATTCTAAGAGACGAGTAAGAAATCAAGCTTCCCTAAACTTCTGTTTCAACATCAAATAAAACCTATGTGAGGGATCTCATAAGAAGTTTTTAGTAATGTTTAGATGGGCAACGAAAACGAAAAACACTAGGACTACGGGATAACTTTGATTATGAATAAGCTGACATATCCAAACTGAGAAAGTTTGAGCACTGAGAAGATACCATTGTCGCATCATAAACAACTAAGTATATTTACGTAAATAACAGGAACAACCATGAATGAAGGATTAATATTTCTGCATGATTAAGTAAAATATAATAGGTGCAAGGCGTTTAATTATTTTATTATTTATTTGAACACATAAATATTGGTACAAGAAGGCACAAAATATATATGCGGCATTTAATTACTCCATAGAAATCGCTGTGAAAAGATATCTCGATCTTAAGGTATATCCCACGTATAATAATAGTAAGTGAATTAACACCTACAGTTCAATAACGAAATAATTTATCTTGTATTTTTCCCGCATCATTTGATAGTTGCAATATGTTTAAATAAAAAGCAAACCATAAACTATGTTCAATGACAGTTTGAAGCTATTATTTGCTTGATCACATAACAACACTTCGTGGTTAATAGTGCAGTCTGGATAGAAACGACTCTTATGGAAATAGTAACTCACCACCTCTATTAAGCATATTAGAAGCTGACATTTGGGCTTTGGTAAATACTGGCATAAATTGTTGTCCCATCATTTGAGAGTGATGATGCAAATTTCTATTTGGCGCTGAACTTGAATAAAACGATTGACTAGGAGGCATAGAAACTGGTTGATTCTGTTGCAAAGAAGTAAGATTACCGGGAAAAACACCTTCATGTGGCATACTCTGATTTGATCCACCTGAAGACATTGGACCCGCACGAAACTGAAGGGAGTTTATTTGTTGCTGTGGTTGGTTAGAATTTAACATGTTTCCTCCTGAACTTAAACCTAATGGGGAAGATATGATACCAGCAGGAGAATCGCCAGAGCCGGGAAAAGGGCCAGAATTTATATGCGAAGCCATAACGCCTGAATTGGCTGCAGCAGCAGCCACGGCATCATACTGAGTATTTTCTAATCGAGTTATCAAACGTTCATCCTCATCACCAAAATCCCCACCCATAAGAGTTGGTTCACCAACAATCATCACATCCTTTCAAAGAGAAATACACACGAAACTAATAAGACAATTACACGCACAAACAGTGGAAAAAGCACTGGACTATGACATAGACGCAAACTGTAACAAAATTTACCCGAGGTTCGATTTGTGCTGGTTTAAAAAGGACAATAGTATGCCACAATGTCATATATATGATTCATTGCGAGATAAAACTTACCCCAGGTTGAGCAATATGATGGGATTGTAGCGGAATAGGTGACTGTTTGCGCTTTGATGTTCGACTTGTATTATTTGCACCTTCAGTTGTTGCTGAACTACCTTTACGCTTACGTCGTTTGCTAGGTTGGCGTGTAGCTTCTAAACAAAGGGAAATCGATATAAGGGAATTCATCATGAACGACAATAATTCATATGGTGAAACAAGACCAAATGACAAACCTATCTCATAAGAATGTTTTCTTTTTCAATAATACGTAACAAAATTTAAGTCAAAATGTAGTACAGGAGAGAACCCATTGGCTCGGTATTCCGGAATTTTGTGAAAACTTAGATGCCTGTTTAAGATCATTTAAGAAGCTAGTGATTACGATTTAGGAAAGAATTACTTGAAACTATCTGGTTGTAATGTGTTACTTTGAACTATGAGGCGTACTTGCTCTTGTAAGGCAATAAACACAAGAGTTTTGGTGGACCAATATTAGTTTACACTTTCGAGACGTTAAATTGAGGGTAGTGAGTTGCCATTATCTCCATAAAATCAGTTGTAGTCCGTTGCAATACTACTTCAAGTGACATTGGTCGAAAGGAAAATGTGAACATGGAGGACACCATTTATCAGTCTCAGTCCTTTCATAAAACATCAACTGGGAAAGCTTGGAATAGAAATCATTTATAGGAAGCGTGATAGTTCATGGAAGTTGATCGCGTAAAGGAGAGCTATGTTAGACTAACACTTGTTAGGGTTTCAAAACACGTTAAATGAAGTCTAGAATAACAAGCAACTCATTATAATGGGTGGCTTAGAATTGACTTCAGTAACGATGGTGAGGTTTATATAGTCAAATAACCAGGCTAGGAAACAGACATGTTTTTCATAAGCTAGTGGTATTTTTTTATGCTGTCCACCTCAATCACTTCAGCGCGGAATGGCGTGTTTGCCTTTTCTATACCATACCACTGAAACTTAGTTATGCTGCGCTTTTTTACCTGTCCAATATGCCAATTATTGTCTTTAGAGATGGAAATACAAATGATCAGTGAGAAAACTGTTCAACAAACCTTGGGGCATCATTCTCTGCCATTTCTGAAATAAAGTGGTTTTAAGGCAATCACGGGGTGTAAGACTATATGCCTTTTGACGCGACATCAGTTCTTGCATTGGTTCCAGAATTATACATAATCGAAAGAAATTGAGGGTGGTATTTGTCATGCCGTATCTGGTAATGTTCTTGGATAGTTGATCTAAAAAAGCTGGGTCCTAAACAAACAAAAGCATTAAAATTGTACTGAAAAAGTAACAATACAATTATTAAATTATATTTCGCAAAGGATAGTTACCTATGAAATATAATTACGGTTAATACCAAACGGAAGTTTCAGGCAACAAAACTCAGAAACCAAGCACAAAGTTGCGAGCTATGTTCTGAACCATGAACTGAGATAACTTACTTTCCAGCTATAAATGTTAGTCTCTATTACTCAAATAATATTCTGCATTAGTCTTTAGTTTATATTATATATATATATATATATATATATATATATATATATATATACTTTAAATCCGTTTAGTTTCTTAATTTGAGCACTTTAGTAATGTGTGTGAATTCATAATTACTTAAAGGAAATGTACTTACTTGAATGCCAAGCATTGAGCGCATTATCATTTCACGATGAGTTCGGATGAGAAAAATCCACGACCGAATCCTCATTAAATCATCAAAAGCGAAATCGAGTGTTAATCGACCTTCCACAACAACCGTAACAGGAATAGATCTAACCATAGTCATAGTCATCGTTGCAGATTCTGAATCCAGAGTTAAAATTGGATGATGAAAATATTCATGGTTCAATCTAAGATTGTAATAAAGTTCACCGCATCCACTTTCAAATATACTGCGAAAATAACGAGGAATGAGCGTTCGCCCGATTGCTAAGAGAGAAATGTGACATAAGATAGGCTTACTGTAACTTTTTGGACCCTCTTCCGTCAAAAAGGCAAGAGTAAGTGTTGCGTCATCTTCAAAAAAGTCAGTAGCAAATGACTCCCACCACAAACTATCACAGTCCTGAAAATAGGTTAGTGTCTTGGAAAACATGTACAGACATACGTCGCTGCGCTGTTGTAATCGCTTATTCATTTCAAATATCCGTAGCTCTGGTTGACCTATCAAATGCGGTAGTCGATTCCTAAAATAAAGGAAAAGCTGTCATGAAATATAAATATAATAGTGGCAGTGTATGGTATAACTATTTTAGACTGGAAATCGGAGTTACTTTTGTTCTAGTGAAATAATCAAGATCTTTTGTAAGAACAACACTGAATCCGCTTAAGATTTTTGATAAAGAAATTTCTGCATTTTTAGGCGATGTAAGTTTCAGATCGGTTGCAGTGGGACTGTGTTCAATTCAGAGCAATAAGACCAATCTGTTTATATTAGATTTGAGATATCGTACTGTGTTAACTTTCGAAAGACTCAGTTCCTCAACAGTTGCCAATTGAACGACAACCTGACAGCATAATTGGTAATGAATAAAAAGACTCACTAGATTCAGCTACGAAATTTTTCACTTAGCTATGTACTATTTTGTATCATCAGTTGATTAGCATTCCCTCAATAATTTTAGCAATCAGAACTCATTAAGTGAAGACGAGAAGAGCCGTTAAGATGGACGCAGATAAACTTGAAAACGTGTTGGGAAACCAGATTAAGTCGATGGATGTGTAGGAAAACGAACATGACGGCTTTGATGATACAGTCAATGGTATCGCCGACTTTACATATAGGCAGGTCTGAAACATGATCTTAGATACTTGGTTTCACCAACACGAAAACTTATCCAGCATAAACTTTCTCAATTAGGAAAATAATTAGAAGGCTCACATACTTTTACGTAATATTTAAGCTAAACTAGATAACCACTGTGATTATTTTACAACAGAACACATGGGACAGAGCTTCCGTGGAAATAACTGCATCACATCCTATTATTTGATCATTCATTACTTTCTAACAACCGCTATTACTGTTTGAAGCTAGTAGTGAATAAAAACGATGGTTTGAGATCGCAGTGCAACAATCTGTCATGTGGACTTTTTAGATTAAAATATTACCAGTGAACATTTAAATTATTTATCCTCATATCCAATTGTTGGCCAGTTAAACGTGGTAAAATACACAGGATATCGATATACACAGTAAGATATCAAACTATCTTACAATGCTGCTTTAGAAGTGTGACGAGTCTGAAGAATATGACTCAGGTTAAAGCAGTTTCGATGTGACTGATTCAATGTCTATCAGTGCAAAAATCTGTTGATCCTTCCCACCATTTCAAGTCACAAGTGAAATGTCAAAGTGCTTTCACCACTTAGCACCGGTGAGGGGAAGTTTAGAAAACCCTAACTCTAGAACTTGTTGTAAAAAATGTTACATAGACCTCAAAAGCTGTTACTTAAAGTAATATATGTGTAGACAAAAACTGGGACTGATAGGGTAGGTGTAGCTATACTTAAGTATATCGCTGTTGATATCAAGTTAATAGTGTTGTTGGGAATGTGAAGTCCCAAAGTACAACTTTTGAGGAAAACCAACATCGATTTAAGGTGATGCACTTCTGCTGTACTACTTTGTGAAAATTCAGAGGGTTTTTATTGTAACTTTGTTTAATGACAATCGCTCGGTTTACAACTTTAAATCATTGTATCTGATATGTAACCAATTAACTTAAAATGTATTTTTAGTTCTATTAGAAACCTTACCAACAAAGCTCCCATTAAGAAACCGGACCTCTCTCTCTAGTCAGTGGGGGAGGGGATGTTAATATTTTTATTTATTATTGAGGTCGAAGCTGCAAAGATATTAGCTCAAAGCACGAACTGTTCAGTTGGAACTGATGCCTGATTAGACGTTAATGACAGGGTTATTGAATACATTATTTACTTAGGAAACTAGTGATCATGTTTGATAGGTACTAGCACTGACAAAAATTAACTAACTTGGCCTAAACCGCAAATATAATGTCCAATGTTGAAAGCTGTCACCTACCCGTTGTTTGGTTACTACTAACACAGGATTAAAGGTTTATTGAAGACTGCTCTATGAATAGTACAACTTCCCGTATGCATCTCCTGGGTTACATGAGTCTCCTAAACTCAGGTGATTGACTAACGTCTAATACTTTATGACCAGGATACTAAGGTCATATTCAACTAGAGCAAAACATTACACATCAGTAATTGGTGCTTTAATCTCTCAAAGAACAAGTGGTTTTGTGAAAACCTGCACATCACCATTTACTGAGCAAGCCGAGGAGTAACGGTATGGAATACTAGTATAAGAAGCAACCCATCTGACCCAGCAAAAACTTGGGTTTAGTGTCACACATTACCTGACTTACGAACCCTTCAATTATTAAACGAATGTCATGGGGACTTTATATGATAAATTATTTATAGACAGGAAGGCATCACGTGCGTGACACAGGTACTAGAAGAGCTGAAATGGATACCGAACGCCATTAAAGGGTGCTTATTTCAGGTCAGTATCACGATATATGGAACACGTTGGTTGATTGTCATATACAATATTCATTCCCTTGATTATCATCAACGCGAAAGATATGCAACATTTTGATTAGCGACATAAGGATGGATAAATTTACCCCACCGTTTATGATTCGTCAATGAAGAGGAATAATTCGAGGCATATGACGACTGGATATCAGAACTACGGCGGGGTAAGGTTGCAGTAAATTGTTGGAGAAACCTATTGCGCCAGCTATAAGAACACTATGATATGAGACGACAGAAAACCATTCCAGGTCGTTACTCGAAACCCTAACTTTTTAAGATTTACAAGCATCTACTTTTAAATTGGTGTGGTTGAACGATGAGATACCACTGTACAACTTTAAACCAAATGGAAAAGCCCGAAATCACGCGGCGAAGAAGACACGTGAACGATTCTCGACTACTTCCCGCTTGGTTAGACATAATCATTAATGACAAATCATTTGTGGCGAACAATCGGAACTGTATGTACTAGAGCAAGAGTGAACCACGCCCCAACCACACATGAATAGAAACAAATCAGGACTGCTATTCGACATAGATTTTTGAGATTTAGCGCCTTAAATCCAGTAAAGATACTACCAAGCTGTGCATGAGGACGAGAACTTGATGGGTCCGACCATGATATATAATAAATGATAAGAGAAAGACGGACAAGATAAACTATGTAGTTATGGCGACACGTAACCAAAACGCAGAAACTGCCCGAGACCACATCACACAGACATTAACCGTGCAAAAAAATTGGGTTCAAACATATTGTCGTACTAGGTGATAGGTCCACGACTGTTTGAAAAAATATTCAAAACGGCTAGATACACTTTTAAGAGTTAAAATATTATAAACTCACAATGATAGTAGTGGATGGTGATGGAACTGGCTAGGATGACCATGTGGGACCATATTTGGGATAGGATGAGGGGAACCAGGATTCATACCAAGAGTGGAGAAATAATGGCCTGGTATTGGTCCAGAACCTGAAGCTGGTGTAGCAGGCTCACGGTCATGAGGACCAGACATTTGGATACCATGACCCGAATGGAGCATTCCTGAATAATTATTTCTTAACCAAAAGTTTCATACCAGGTGGGAGGGTGTTTGGCAAATTTAGAGAACTTGATATCACCGGGCCTGAGTGAACTGGTTGCATATGGAGAGGCTGAGACCCACCACTCGCAACCGCAGAAGGCATCCTGTTCATTGGAGTTTTGGAAGGGAAGCCAACTGCATGTGGAAAATTCAAAAACTTCTCCGGATATTCTGAGATATTGGGATCCAGCGTTGGCAAACGGATAACACAATAGACAGACTTCAACGAGCCAACCAAAATGGAGTCGTCCTAAATAAGAAAAACAGACAGGTTAAACAAAAATGGTCATCTTACTACATAGCAGTTTAGCAGAGAAAATATCATCTTCAGCTTGTTCATTTGTAAGTTTTAATGTGCATGAGTAATAATTTTGTGCAACCAAACGCGTGTTTATAAAAAAGCGTAATGATTTTCTAATTTATGAATCAACTTGCTTTTGTGTGTTTTGGCATCAAGAGCTTACTAGGTCAGATCTAGCTTGAATCATTTCGCATAAAGTTATCAGGCGCTCACAAATCTTTTTGTGATGCACTTCTTGATTTTTCACCAATCTTCGCACCTGCTGGGATCTTGCGTATTTTCTTCGGGTTTTTCAATCTAGTAGATTCTATACTGTTCCATTGTCTTAGGTTATATATATATATGACAGGTTTTGTACAGCTCTTTTTGCAGTGGTTGGTTATTCTCATAAATTCGGACAGCATGAGTGTTTCTTCATTACAGAGAAAAGAACGCAGTGTGATTGGTACAACAAGTGGTTTCATAAAATAACCAAACGTTTGAAACCTACAAAATTTGGGGTGTCCACAGCCTAACTTCCATTATCTCTGCACCTGCTGTTGTTGCAGCAGGACTTCGCTGATCCAGGAGGCGATGAGCTTTCTGACGTTGGTCAGTAAAAGGTTGATGATAACTGAACTGATGATTAGGGCACTGACAGAAAATTCTGCCAGTTCTGTATGCTCAGATAAACGAGAAGCTAAATAGTCGACTGAGAAACCTGAATAAGTAAAATCTTTGAGACAAATAAAGATTAACACATCACTGCATGTCGGGTTACATGAGTCTAAAGCCGTATCTGAAGACCTAGAAAACCGTTACAAGTACATTTGATGTGAGTGTCTTGGGTGAAGGGAAATAAACAACAGTTTAGAAGAAACCCACTTCCACTAACAGTAAATGGTTGGCTGACAAACCTTCGGTATGTTCCCATTCTGAGTCACAGAATATTCCTCCGAATTTTCGAAGTAACACTATCCTTAACCCTTGAGTAGGAAACAAATTTAATTTCACCGAACATTCGTGTGAGAATCAAAGAACGTTGATCCAGCATTTAGACTTACGTATGACTTAGGGAAGGTTGGAACATTTATTGGTAACATATTACCCAGACATTCTACGGGAGTTCGGACCGTAAAACTGTTACAGATGGTTAAGGGGACTAAGGGAAATATTGGTCCCCAATCACGTATGCTCTTGAAGGTGATCCTAGGGTCAGAGGACCGAATAGAGATGTTGTTAACGAGTGGTCGAAAGCGCTACCACTACAACACACATGTTGAACCTAATGTCTCTGAAGGATAGATTAAAAAGTCCTATGTGAACTAGAAATCTGTCAAAAGAATGGTGAAGAAAACCATCTTCTGGTGGATCTCCAAATATCAAGGTCCTGGGAGAGAATACGAACAAAACTTGCATGGGTAGGTCATCCTCTTTAGGAGTCTTGTGCACAAACTCTCATAGTATGTGAAATAAATTTCATGAATTAATAATGTGAGTCAACTAAGTGAAGCTGCTGAATTATGGTCTACTTTGTCATTAGTACTGCTCTAATAATAAACTCGATCTCAAAAATGTAGATTTGTCATGATGTAGCTGCTTCATCTACAAGATCTTACGTGGAAGTCACTAACTCGTCTTATTGTAACAATCACCAATATATAATCGAGAACATGTAACAGCTTATAGAATTATGGTCTACTATGATATTAGTACTGCTCTAATAATAGACCTAATCCTACACTTGTAGATTTGTCATGATATAACTGCCTAATCTATAAGATCTTACGTGGAAGTCACGTCATCGTCTATACCAACTCACTACATCGTAACAATTACATGATAGAGAACAAACATAGGCTAGAGATAGAACAATATATTTAATATGAATAAAAGATATAAGGTAACATTCAACAGGGACCACGCCTGCATGGCCGAACCATGCCATACGATCAACCCCAATTAATTCAATTCATTCTTCTCACCCTCTTCATCGCTGGGTTTTCCTCCGTGTTATATGTTGATTGTCTATTTCCCACATTGTCTCGCGTTAGGGCCCAATGCCACTACAAGCTTAGGTTGATTGGTTAAAAGTTGACTTCAAACAACTAAGTATGTGTAGAAACAATAGAATTCAAGTATTCATTCACTTCCTTATTTTGTATAGGCGTTATATTCCCTATTATCTTATACTAAATGCTGAGAGGCCTTGTTCGTCTGAACAGGCAATCCCACACTCCACTGTGACTGCGTAAAGACCTAAATAAAGACCTATTCACTACTAGTTTGGTTCCTTCTATCAATAGCATGAGGGTTCCCTACAGGCACGGAAAACACATTTAGGCTGGACATAGATTAATATGTTTAATATGAGTAAAAGAGATATGTTGCATATGCATGATAACGTCTACAAAGTTGAGCCATGCCATCCGATGTATTCTATTCATCCTTCCCGCCTTCTCCATTGTTAGGTTTTTCTCAGCGGTAAATGTTAAATGTCTATCTTACCAGTTATCTCATCTTCAGCTTTGAGGAATGTGTGGTTAGGGCACAATGACACTACAAAGACACTTATCACATCCGTGACTGAAACTTGGTTAGTCCATGACTACAGAACTGTACAAGTACAACTACCTAAGAGGTGATGGAAATAGATGTAGGGATGAGAGGGATCCTTGTATGCGTAACTAATAATACGGATAAATGTTCCTTTATTTTCGAATCTCGTAACAATGAGGGTCAAAAAAGTTATATCGTTGGATGCTCTGATAATTGAGAAGGAAGTTATCTAACGATTACTGTGATATCTGAAGCCACATAAGTTCAGTGGTCCTTATCATATTCACCCTAGGATCATGGAAATTCTGATGTATATAATTGCTGAAACTCTGGCAGTACTATTTTATATATCTCCCAAATAGACTAGGTTGTCAAGGGATTGGAAAGATGCAATTATAAATACGGTTTAAAGGTGAAGTAACAAACATTTATAAGCGATCACCCTGTTCGTCTAACCAACGTAGTCGCCAAAAAATGTCTACTCTAAACTATATGGAATGGGATAATCTTTTGTGAAGAGGGTAACATGGTTTCGAAGGGGGTCTTTCATCCTTGACAAATGTCGTTGCTGGGGAATATTTTACTGCATCGGGAGATATTAACTGCCTCGTATATGTGATTTTCACCGATCTCAGTAAAGCCCAAGCTAAACTTTCTCAGATTAGTCTTAAATTAAAACTGGAAAGTTTTGGAATCCATTATAGAACTAAAAGTTGGATGCGTAACTCTATTGACAATAAGAGGCAACATGTACTGGTAAATGGGGCTTTATCCATATTGATATCTGTAGAGAGTGGATTTCCTCAAAGTACACTCCTTAGCCCTCTTCTTTCTTGCTTTATGTAAATGATTTGCTAACTGTCGCAAAGTCATATTTTCTACTCCTTAATAATAACATTAAGACTTAGGGAGCCATACACTCCATGACTGGTGAGATAATACTACAAGAATACTTGAATTTACCGGTTGAAAGGGTAAAAAGGTGGACATAAATCTGTAGTGTCGGTTATTATGTTAAGCCCACATACTTTATTGTAGTTTTCGGACAGCTCATACTATTCATTCTACTTGAGTCACATTCTGACCTTGTTATTTATTCGCTTATCAATTTTGACTGTTTTTATATGTACGCGTAGGTGTGTGTACATTTCTTATCCCATTACTCATCACATGTCTGCAACTGACTTTTGTGTAACTACAAACATTGATTAACGCTTGGTTAAAAGGAGTTGGCTAACCAGCCATCTCCACTGAGCGTCGTTTCTCTTCTCTCTATTCCATTCGCTTTATATACAAAATATATGTATTGAAAAGTCCGTTCTCGTTATTTGACTTATTTAATTCCGTTATTGACTAACGCGATTTAAGTCGACGATTATAGACGAGGGTAGGCGACATACTTATTTCGATATCAAACATTCATACGATCTAATTTGAGTCCGATCCACGGGCCACTAAAGTGGAGAGCCCTTCCGACAACATCGTTCAATCTAGATGACGACAAAATTATGGGCCCCACTGAACATCAATTCTAGCAAGAGTGCAGTAGTGCATATAAATAATTTTAACAGTTTACATAAGTACAGAACAAATAAAATGTAATTACATAAAGTGATGGATTATAAAAATTTAGGAGTCATAACCCGCGTTGACCTTGTGACTACGATTAAACATAAGATTGCCGCTGCCCAAAGCTTTGGGGTCTCATGGACTATTCAGTACTCGTTTAGTCAGCTCGATGAGGTTAAGTTAAGGGTACTATACCTGGCCTTTGTGAGACCGCACCTGGAGTACAAAATTCAAACGGAGAATATTGGTTTAAAATATGAAGCGGATACGCTTAGAGTTCAACGGCGGGACACTAAATGGTACAAGGTACTGTCGACTTAACTTATGAAAACAGGGTGAGACGCTTCAATCTATTTATGAGGTGGTTTGATAGTGACTTACTGTATACTTGTTATTTCCGATGAAGACTAAAGAAATGGTAACTGCCAGGATTAGTTTATAGGCTATTATTGCACACATTCTCATTGGACAATTATTAACTAGATTGTGTTATATATTTATATTCCTTTAATCATGAGCTTTTGATTAACCCACTAACTACTGTTGCATGATTCACTACACTTAATCTGTTACCATTTAATTGTTCACAACCTCTACAATTCATAGCCAATTTTGGCTTGATCATGCATAATTGCTACCCTTCATTTTATGGTATGATGTAGTTGATCACGTATACACATAATCTACTTGTTTTTGAAATATAATATTCACAAGGTGAAAGCTGATTTCAGTGTTCTGAGCTGAACAAGCATAACAGAGAGTGAAGCCGGAGATTTTTGAGCCAGTGAAAACTTAGCACTTAGCTTAAGGTTATTGATGCTCTACCGATTTTGACTGGTATTTTTTG